AAATATTAGTGTTGGAATGGGAACTGAGCTGTCTTTTAGCTGGTTACTGTGATATAAAGATATGGTGTTATCCACACATTCTGCAAGTGTACATGACTGGGACTTGAATCCAGATTTATCAAGTTGTAACAGCTACAAGTCCATACTTAATCCTTACTTCTGCTATTACTTATCTTACTAAGTGAGGGTGTATGAATCCTGATCTGGTAAGATTTAGAAGGCTCAGATACTTTTGCTGTGAGGTTCTAAGATCTGGATAGGATCTCAGTGTGCTGTTAATTCCAGGGAGAAGATAACTATGAGTACAGTCAAAGGATTTCTTGTAAAGTTTTCCTGGATAAATAAAAGATAATTCCTGTAAATTACGGGGGTGAAGAAGGATACAAGCTGACATTAGGAAAGGAACCTTGCTGATGATCAAACCAAGTGGGTAACAAACAGTGAAATATTAAGGAGAAACATTGGACTGACAGGAGATGGTCCTAATTACATGGCACACTGAACAGGGATTTTAGGTGATATTACTGATGGAAAAAAGCATATTATTCTACTATTGTCCCACAAAGTGCAATAAACAATTCTAACCAATGAATGAGTGATTTTTCACTTTATCCCTCTGTTCCTGATTATTTTGTTTTAGATTTCTGTGGTACTTTTAGAGTGACTTAAATCAATGTGCTTAGCTACTGCTCCCTCAAGTTATTCTCTGCTCTAGAATGGCTGTATGATCTGATTGGCAGTATGAGTTGGGAAAGTCTGTCTACATTTTTGTAGTGATTGGCATCAGTGTGCCAATCAGGGATATGTGAAACTGGCATTTGGAGCTGGCAGCCAACTTCTTGTTATCCCAAGTAAGTTTCAGCTTTCTGTATCATATTAACACTGGGATTGGTAATTACTTTTAGGGTAGGTGGACTAAGGATTACATGGAAGCACGTTCCCAAATTATTTTAGACTTCCCCTGATGAAAATCAGTTGGAATAGAGGTGCTGCCTTGGAATCCAAGGATTGCTTGAGTATGGTGTGGCTGTGAACTGCTGCAGAAAAGACCAGCTAGAGAAGACTGTCATATTTTCTATGGTTTTCTGTTGCTGAAGATTTTACACAGGCTTAGTAGTCACAGCATAGTGCAGTCATGCATAGAGAGCTGCAACACATTTTACATGCTGCCAAATGCTGCACAAGAAGTTTAACACATTTACAGACTTTCTGGCTACTAATTTCAGACTTGATTTGTGCATCTTTAAAATAATAATTATATGGTGTCTGGGGGTTATTCTGATTAGTGGCCTAAAAATTGGATTTTCTAACTCAGCTTATGTCAATATTTGTTAGTTTTAAAATGCAAAAGTGAAGTCCCTTCCATATTGATATAAACTGATACTGCAGTGTGAAGTCAGTTATTAGAAAAGGGACTGAACTTCTTGTGATGCTTTGTAAGTCTTCGTCCTTTTCTCAGTAACATTTCAAAATGCTTTAGAAACCTGAGAATACATAATGAAGTTTCATCTAACTTTGTGCGTCATCTTCTAGTAGAAAGTTTTCTCACATATTTTGGATGAGCAGCCATTGAAATATGCACCTGGTAGGCAAGAATTTATTGCGAAGGGTTAATATTGAGTGGAAAACTGAAAGATACAGTATGTTTGTCTTTAGAAGAGGGACTAGATTACAAATCAGCTCAGGTGAGTAACATCTGGAGGACAGGCTATGAAGATGGAAGCAGTGACTACCAGTTTGTGTTTCTAAATAGATCTATTATGGAAAGATATTATGGAGTCGTTTTGGAGGATGAACATAGCCTCTAGATGAAGAGGAAAGGGACTAGAGAAGGCTGAAAGAAAATGAAACCAGGATTATTTCTCAGCTTGCTAGGCAAGACAGAGTAGGAGCCTGGGAATACTGCAGACGAGAGCATCATCAATTTCTTAGGCTAGTGTCATCAGCATATCATTGACCTTAACTTTGGAGTCTTGTAAGACAGTTTGAAGGTTTATGCAGTAAATATGAAAAGGAAATATTAGCCTGACAGGGCTAACATTGTTACACAGAAACCGGTCTACATTTTTTCCTTAGATTGAAGGGAAAAATTCAGACACCCCTGGTTTCATGTTGAAATCATAGTTTCACATTGCATCAGGAGTAAATTTCCCAGGTGACTTACACTATGTTATTTTAATGATTTGAACTCAGTGTCTGGGATATCAGAGCTAGGAGAGTAATTTTGGAAATGGCACAAAGCTATCTATCTGTGATCCCAAATAAGTTATCTGATTAAAAGTGAATTAAATAGAGTGATTAGGGACGGTTATTATTTAGGTGTGAAATACACATCTGTATATGAGGCATCCACAAATATAAGATTGAAAATTCTTCTGACTCTCTGGTAACAACATAAAAAATTATCTTCTACCTGTGTTTAGGCAGGGATTTTTGGCTGATTTTCTTACTTACTAAACAAATCTTTTTTTTTTTTTTTTTTTTTTTTTCCTGATACTACATGTATAGTTATTCTCTAATTCAATAATGTACTTGTTTGGACTTGACATTTGATTTTTCTTCCAGAAACTACTCTAGAATATAAAATTGAAAACAATTTCCAACAGTTAAAATTCATGCTGGCTTTGAAAGAAAAGGCCTGAAAAGTATATGGTGAAAATGACAGAGGCTCTCAGGAAGTTAATGAGCAGCCTCTTCAAGTCTTCATGTTTTCAAAGACAATTATTACACAGATGGGATAAGCCATTGCATTCACTGTGAGCTTTAAATGATCAAAGACTCTCTGTCAAATTAATTCCAGTCTGATCAGCAATTGAGAGAGTCTGCAAGGGAATGGGTAATTAGATAATTCTCTATACACAATAGCGTGTTAAACCAGTTCAGGATTTCTAATGCATCCTGTTTGGAAAAAGAGGCATAGGTCTTCTAAGACCTACGTTGGAACTCTTCTACTGCTCTCTGAAATCTCCCGATTTCTGGAGTTGGCTATCTGAGTAGACTGGGCGGAATAGTACTCAGATAGCTCTGTTCTTCCACACAGAAGATATCCTTCAGTAAGGATGAAATTAGGCAGGGTGGACAGCTCAGAATATCATCATTCTCAATATTTTCTGCAAATAAAGGTAATAGACATCAATACAACGTTTCCAACATATCCACCAACACATTAAGACAATGACATGAAACATATCACAGTGCTGCGGTTATAATAGCTTATATTTACCAAGACTGCTATCTGCAGACTTTCATAACGGTGAGCAAATATGCAAAGGAATGTATTGGGAAAAAGCCTCCAGTTACGGAACAAAGTGAGCAACCTCTCTGAGCAAGAATGAGAAATGAGCATTTTGCAAAGTTGGTGCTGAAGCTGCCAGCAGAAACAGATGTGCTTTTCATAATCTGCTCAAGATAAAAGCATAACAGAGATAGTGAGAAAAAACAAACAAACAAAAACAACAACACTAATTTGGAGAGTGGTGCATAAGTAGCTCTTCAGAAAGCAGAGCACTCAATGAGAGAGAGAACATCTATCAGTTCCTCTTTTCTTTGTATCCCTGTACTCCATGGTAATGATATATCCTGGTTCATCTGTATTATTATTATTTAAACAGGAGTCTCCCATACAGCTTTTTATCTGACTCTGTCACTGAAATTTATTTTCAAAAGAATAACTGTATTGCATGGGGATTATTGGGGCAGGTGAGTTGAGCTGGGGAAGTCAGAGTATACACTAGACAATATTCTGCACTGCTGGGAAAGAGACAGTCTCATTGGGTTTTTCAAAGCCTGGACAAAGCCCGTACAGATGAACTGCAATTCAGGAGAGACTCAGAGAAAAATACCACTGGGCTTTGTGGATAAGGTTTTTCTGAGGTGGTATTAATAAAGTACAGACATTTCTTTAAGATGCTGCCAGCTGGCAGTTGAACAGATCAGAACAGTTTCTCTCGGTGGAACAAGAGCCTGTGCTTGGATAAGATTTTGAGGTGGTTTCTAAAAGCCAAGATTTTAGTCTACATTTCCCCAGAGGGAAGAAATTAAAACTTCTTCATGTGGGACTAATCTATCTTTGCTATTTCTACAATACTTAACAGTGTGGTGTGAGAGCAGGGACTAAGCAAATGTTAATCTAAACTCTGAACCTTACCCAGTAACCCTTTCTCAGTTACAGATGTGGTATGAAGCTCAGGTTCAAACTTGTGGTCATAGAGTCCAACAGAAAATGCATTCAGAGGGCTACTGAGAGACCCATATTTACATGTTGGCTACAGTATCTCTTTAATGATGTTTTACTTGTTCATCACTAGAGTACTGCAATACTATTAACATTTTATTATTATGATTACTCCTCCCCAGACACATAACTTCTCATAGCAGTGAAGCAATAAGAGAGAGTGCTCTCTGCCCGTTCCCAGAACACATCCCCCAGTGCATTCAGGCCAAGACCCTAAAGGAATCCCAGGCTGCAGAGTAGAGTTGAACAAGCTGTTACAGAGAGGAATGCCTAGGTTAGATATCAACATCTAGGCTGTGGGTGGCCACATGAGTATCATTTGAGATGCTCTAAAGATCCTGTCTGACTCCCCATCTGTGGCTCTCAGACAGCATAAGTCTCATGTAGCTCCTGCATTACCTACGGATGCCTTCATTTTCTATAGATGTCCTAGCGCAAGGTCCTTATGATCAATCTCCCAATGGAATCATGTAGTGACCTCCATACTTATGTCTGTACATCAAGATTCAAGGAACTAAGACTGTGTAATCTCACCTAATGTCTCTTCTATTCTCCACTTTCAGAGGTTGTTCCATCTCCTTCGGTCTACAGGCTGACCACTAAAGATGATGAGAATTTGGAAATGTGCCTTATCACAGATTATGCCCCTAAAACCTTAATGTTAAATCAGACTCAGCTGATAGTAAGACTGAAGCTGTTGTGGAGGTGGAAACATCTGAGAATAAACAGGAAGCAAGCTACCTGACAACCTACTGGGCCAAGAAAGATAAAATGGAGTGTGGTGCAGAGGATGAAACGCTGGAAAATTAGAAGGAAAGGATCCTGAAAGCGGTAATGTCACTGTTGGATGTGCATTCAGGGTTAGAGGCAATCTGGTCTCTGTCTCTCCAGTATGAACAGGACTTGTTCACATCTCCCAACCCTGCAAGCAGTACTGAACTATGCTCCCATGCTCTAGAGGAATCTTGTCTTGTTGCATCTCTTTTCTTTTGCCTTCTTGGTAGAAACAAGATTAAAGCTCAGTAGGCTGGTACAGTCACAACAGAGAGATTTCAAAATCATGCCATGGGGGATATAAAGCTTGAAATTCTTTTGTCTGGTGGGACACTAAACTTTAGATCATATTAAATGCTAACCCTGAAAATAGCAGACATTAATATTTATTGGATGGTTTTAAGGCTAGAAACTATAATTCAGTTCTTCTAAGTAGAGACATCTTTATGAACTTCTGAAGTCAATTCCTGTTATTAATTAAATATATTGTTACTATTTGCAGGTGCCAGCACTGTCTGTGTAACAGGGATGTCACCACACTTCAAGACAGGTATGAACACAATATTTTAGGAGTAAAATTTAATTAAAGGAACTGTCTTCCTCCTTCCCCCCCCCTTTTTTTTTTTTTGAATGTTCCCTGTTTTCAGAATTCCTGTTGGATCAAAAATCAAACACTGGGAATTTTCTAAAGGGCTACACAGGATTTAAATACAAAGGCTGGAAGTCATTGGGTTGATGTAGACCTCCAGATCTGAATCGGTAATTTAAAGTGACCTCTGTAGCTGGCACCTACATGGTCTTGCAAGGTGTTGCCAACAGACACTGCTCACCCTATAATGGTTTAAGGCACAGATACATCAGCTTCACTGAAAGTCTGCTGCATTTCAGATTTCAAAAGAGCTGTTTGTATTTTGTGTGCAAACGCCTAATGAGCCAAAAGATAAGCAAGTGGTTTCTGCAGTATGCGTGCACTGAGCAGGCTCTGCTTCAGCTTGTGGCTATGGGTATGCTACGCTGCACTGGAGCCCAAGCAATTGCTGTTTGTGCTAGTTCAAAGGACCTGAGCCTGCCTCTGCTCTGCTCTAGCCTTGTTTGCAGAATAGCTGTACTTTTGCAAATATGCAGCCTTGCTGAAAGAGAGGGAGAGGAAAAACAAAACGAGAGGAAAAAAAAAATAATAAAAAACCACCAAAAACAGTTAGCCGAATGTTCCAAAACACTACTTCAGAAAATACTCATCAGTAAACTGGCTGATTTGACAAGTTTTTCAGAGAGGTTTTCAAATGACTTTTTGATAATAACTCCTTGCTTTTCCAATATAGAACAATTTTATTTTTTTTTCGATGAAAATGACTTTGTAACTATGAATAACAGAACATTCAGATAGACTCTTTTTTCTATGGATAAAATTAACTTGTTTTCCTACTGCCTCTTAGAAAATTGGGAGAGGAAGGAGGAACTCTTCCTGCATCTGTGGTTCATAATACGCTGTTATTTAAAAACAACTAGATGGTTAGCAGTCTTCCTTACTGGAGAATTAATGTTTGCTGAATGAAAGCCTGGCCCTTGAAACAGTCTGTCAGTGAGGTAGTCCTGCTCACTGTCTCATTAGGTGTCCTATAAGCTAACTCAACATGCAAAGTAGAACAGCTTCATTAAAAGTATTTTCATGTCTGTCTGGAAGTCAGGATGTCCCGTGCTCTTGTGACTCTCATTCCTGGTTTTACAGATGAAAACCTGAACATGCTGTCTTTCACACAGCTTGGGCCTGAAAATAATTTTAATGAAAGGAGTAATTTTTAATGTGGTGATGACAATCCTTATGTGGAAGAAAAAAGTGAGTATGCAAGGGAGGTGGTAAGACCTCTGACAGAAAATACCTGTATCAGTTCATTAGCTATGAATGTTCCCTCTGTATTTTACATATTCTGTTCATACACCTTTTATCTATCACCAGTAAAATCCCTCCAATTCTTTACAAGTCATTACTTGGACCTATCATTGTTTTCTCCACTACATGAGTCTATTTACCCTTCCTTATCCACACACAAATTTAACTTTTGTCTTCTTTCTAGACATCTCTCTCTCCTGTTCCTACAACCTTTTCTTCCCTTGTCTGCACTCATCCATCAGATTCATCACCTGACCATTCTCCAGCAGTGAAAGTTTGATGGTCATTGACTTTAAGACCTAATATGTTGCTTCAGATCTACAATTATGTAGTTGTGACTGTACCCAAATTTAATATACCTTTATTTTTTGTTACAGGAATGAATGTAACCAGTGAAGACATAAGTACCAAAAAAATCTGCTGAGAATCTTTACAGGAGCATCGGGTGCAAGAGGGAACACAGGCCAGCGTTCCTGTTGCAACAGATATCACATTGTGTTTTCTGTACATCAAAAAGTCATTATAGTCTAAATTGCTTTATTTGCATTTTTAAAAGCTGCGCAGAGATATGCTTACAATTCTCAGCATTGTGCTCTCCCACAGATCTGATTCATTTAGCATGACGATGATTTCTTTTTTTTTTTTTTGGCTGAAGAGCAGATTGCTTCTCAGAGTATTCATTTGCAACTGAAATGGCAAAGGGAGTCTTAGTCAGGGTGCTATGCACATTTCTTTTCTGACTTTTGCTGTCCGAGCAAGGCGTTCCTCCCTCTAACCCACCCCATCCCCCCCAAAAGAAAAAAAAATGCTGCTAGGTCTCCCAGAAGTCCTTAAATTAGTAAAATTCTTGCTTCTCTATCACAGAAGAATGCTTTTGCCATTTTTTAAAGTCCACATGGCCTTTGGATGCTATTAAATAATCATTACCAATAATAAGAAACTTGTTTGTCTTTGTATCTCTTGTTGGAGGAATTTGTTTTGCCCTTCAGATGAGTTTTAGGATCAGAGATGGCCTTTGGGGTGAAGGAGGGAAGGGGTGCCAGGAAGAGCAGAACACAGCTTAGCCCCCAGGGACTGCTTGCAATAATGGGCTTGATCCACACCTGAGGAGCATCTACAACCTCCCTTTTCAGGACATCCACTTCCCCTGCTGTGTTGGAGGAGAATATCATGGCTGGCTTAGAGGTGTGTGTGGGGGAACAGAAGTTGTGCACATCCCCTCCAAACCTAGGCACTGTGCTATGTGAAGACAATGTGTGAAATACAGCTTTCCAACAGTGAGAGGACTAGGAAGTGGACCAGTCCTGAAGGCAGTTGTCTACTCCTGCGGGAAGCACAGAAGTCTGTAATATCCTGCCCCTAAATGTCCTCTGTTCTCAAGTTTCATGGTAGAACAAGGTATTGCTTTGCATTAATGACATTACTGACATTGGTCTGAGTCTCCAAATTCGGGCTCTCAAAGTCAAGACTGGAAAGACTGTTCTCCTGTGACAACGGTCTCTCCATATTCTAAAGCAGCAAAGATTCCTCTGGAGAAAGAGACAAGAAAGGTGCTTGGAAGGAAACATAACCTCCCTGCAAATCTTGAGCTTTGTTGTACCTCACACTAAGCCCAAACTAAGTGGTAGGGAAAAGCCTTGCTATGCTGGGTGGCATGATTCTCTTAGAATATTTCTCACCTCAGTGGATTCACAGCCATTACAAGGACCTCTGATTTTGGGAAGGTTCCTACTTAAATGCATTTAGTCAAAAGTCCTGGTGCTTCATATGTTAAGGGCCTCTCTGTGCAGATGGTGTTAGCACTCCTGCCATGGTATCTGAATCCACAGTTCCGAGCAGCAGCAAAACAAAGTCTCCCCGAGCTCCTGCTGTGGTGCTGCCACCTGACCACTTTGTAGATGGCCTGTTGCTGGGTGACCATTACTGACCTCTCCTGTCCAGGAACAACTTCCAATATTGCAGGTCTAAAACTCTGATTATCTTATAGAAGAGATGTTCAGGGACTCATTTGTTTGACTCCTTGACAGAACAGTCATTCTCATTTTTAACCAGCTGTAAAAAGCCTACAGCTATTTAAATCCCAGCCATGCCTTGAACATTGCATTTTGCTTATGATGAAAGCTGCTGCATCACAGAGAAACAGCACTCAATGAAGCTGCCTAAACCATTTCTGAATTACAGAGCAGGACCAGTACCATGTTCACACATTTCCAATTGACTAACCTCATTCTAAAACCTTTAGGGATGTGGAAAATAAATTCTCCACACTCCTTTACCTTTAACATCACTTTAAAAAATATTAATATTTGTCTCAAATCTTTTGCATTGCATTTCAAACCCTTTCCTAGCTGTAAGGTGAGGGGATGAGCATATAGCTAAAGCTGTGTTTTGACTGAAGTGACCCTTAACATGTGATCTCCAAAGCACTGAATTTGTAGGTCTCGTTCAAAGATGCTCTCTGAGATTAGGGTTTTGATCCTCTCCCACCACTGATGCTTACACCCTTTCCCCCGTGTGGTTTCTTGTTTATTTCAAGAAAGAAAAACCACAGTGCAAAGCAAAAGCAGGAAATAACATGGTAAGTAACAGGATGTGGAAGAGGGGGTCTCATGGCCCATTTGGGGCAGGAAAGGACAAACCACTAGTTCCATGACGCCAGTGCTGAGATCTGGGTCACCTTTTGATACTCCCCTACACCTTACCGCAGAAACCTCTTCCTCTGTAAAGTAGAGTGCAAAACAGGGGTTGGGTGCGGGGGGGCAATGCTAGTGTGGCACGTGGCAGGGAGGAGAAGCATGTGAAATAGGACAGCAGACGTTAGACCACAAACCAAAGTAGAATGAGGTTAAGACACCCTCCCTTCCTGCCCCCTCACTGTAACCTTATCTTGGGTGTGTGGAGGGAGTTCTGGGTACAACAGGAAAGACTGAGCTATGCAGAGCACAGGAAGGGGAGAAAATAAATAATTGGGGGGGGGGGGGGGGTGAGAGGGGAGGAGGGAAGGCAGCAGCAGGGAAAGATCTTACAAGCATATAAGATTTCAGAATGTGCTGATATGATACATCTCTGCACCCTCTTATACAGGCAGTGACCCAATGCACGAAAATCCTTCCACTTCTGACCCAAAAGACAAAGGCGGAACATGGCAGAGGCCAGAATCTTCTCATATTGGCAGAGAAGATGGTGCCATGGTCCACCTACGCCCTCCTCCTCTGTGCCAGCTGCTGCCCCCTACTATCTACTGATGGGTAGGACATGAATTTGTATCTTTTCTTGGGATCTTGTTGGAGAAAACACCCTGCCCTGTGCTTCTCATCCCTCACTAAACATAGCCCTATATAAGAAGCAACTTTCTTTCTTGCCCTTTTCTACATAGTCCACAAGGACCTCTGGTATCATCTTTCTAAGGAGCAGAGTTTGAAGACACATACAGATTTGTTGAAGCTCATTCAGGCATGGAAGTACCTCTAATAGAACTTGAAATCTTGGGCTAGTTTATGGTAACTAGAGGCACTGAAAACCACTAAAACTCAGAGAAAAAAAAAAGAAAGAAACCCCACAGAAGGTTTCTCTCTTTACACCACCATGTACTGGCCACAGGAGGGCCCCAGCCTCAAGCTCTCCCTGAAGCCAAAGCATGGGTAGACCACTGCAGAGACCCCACAGGGAGGCACTCGTGCCTTGCGAACAGCAGCAGCTGCTCCAGTACGTTCCCTGCGCGCGTTCCTCCTTCTGTGAACTCGTTGGCTCTGTCTGCCACGAGCCTGTTTCAGAGAGGGCTCTTACAGGAAAAAGAGCCCAGTAGCTCATTTACAATTCCCACATGCTTTCGAGTATTCTGTGATCCCCATCACCCTAACATCAGAACATAGTTGGTATCATCACCATAAATAAGCCCAGCCTAATGCCTGGGGGGCTGTGGGTCAGAGCTGGCATGAGTTGTTCCCACCACAGACCCAGACAACACCCTTCAAGACAGTAAAGACCCTGCTTCCTCATACCTGACTACTCAGGACTATTTGGAGGCCCGTACATCACACTTCTACTGTTTTAATGGCTGCAGCACAGCTGGAAATGCTAGATGGAAAAAGGTGGTAAACAGGTGCCATAATCCAGTGCTGAGATGTTGAAGCTATTGAACCCCATGTTTTAACTCCTGGATGCCAGCAGTCAAGCATTCCTTTGTAACATCATCTTGTATGTGTTTTTGCTACTGTTTCAGCTGCTGACCAGACAAGACAAGCATGGGGCAGGATCAGTAAAATGACAGAGCCTCAAGCTTGAAGGTAACTCGGGTTAATTCTTCATCCAACGATCAGGAAGGAATAGCTAGAGCTAACATCCTACCCTGTGCCTATAATTTGATTATCACAGGGATCTAATTTCCATCACAACTAAAAAGCAATTGGCTTCAACCAGATGCTAGCTGAGGCTTGAGAAGGCAATGCTCGAGGCCTGGGGCATTGAGATTAAACATTTCACAGTACCTCAAAAGAGAAAAGAATTTCAAGATTCAATCTGAGGAAAACCTTCTCCATTGAGCTAGGACAGCTCAAGTGCAGCTCTGTCCCAGACACTGACACAGCCTAGCAGCCCCTTCCAGCATCCTTGGGTTTATCAGCAATTCAGGTTGCAGAAAAACTAACTTTGTCTTAGGGTGGTTGTATTACTACCAAGCCATAGTGAGCCTGTAAGCCCAGTTGGTGCATCAAGCTGTGCCCCATGTGATGCCGAGGGATATGGGAGGGCCCATGGGAATCACAGAATGGCCTGGGTTGAAAAGAACCTTAAAGATCATCTAGTTTAAACCCCCATGCACTGGGCAGGGTTGCCAAAATGGATACAGGTGGGGATGGCTGAATGACACCCCCAGCTTCCTTCCGTTCATCTCTAACCACAGTCTAAACAAAGTTTTCTGCAGCTTTGAAGCCTGGGGTTGTGTTGGCAACATACTTTCCATAAGATAAAGGCCAGATGACATCTGTGTTTCCATGACAACTTGCTTCCAGTTTCCCCCAGAAACTGGGGCACAAAATAAAAGCCTAGGGGGTAGAGAGGGAGAAATGGAGAGAGAGAGAAGGAGGGAAAAACAAGAAGCCATGACTGAGGGAACTTGGGCATAGGAAGAAACTCTGTATTTGTCTTCAGCAAGGAAAAGTGTGCAGTACTATGAAGGGCTTTATTGAAATAAACGATTACAGCAACTGAAATGAGGCAGTAGACCCTTCCATAGGACAGTCTGTAGCAAAAACTTTACTCCCTGCTTCCCCTTCCTCACCATGGAAGCAGTTACAAGTCTGATGGGGAACAACACTTCCCTATGACAGGTTTTAACATCAGAACCCCAGAGGAATTCGAGACCTGTAAAGAGAGAAAGACAACATGAAGAATGCATCTGCAAAGGGACAGAAAATGCACCACAAGCTCCAAACAGCTTGTGGCCTCTTTGCAACTATAATAGAACATGCTGTGCACTTTCTAGCATCAAACTCTCCCTATTCTGAACATTT